CAATCTCTTGAAAATGTATCCCACATTTTAAGAAACTTGAGCAATCTCTTGGAAATTTATCCCACATATTCAGAAACTTTAGCAATCTCTTGAAAATGAATCCCCCATATTAAGAAACTTTAGCAATCTCTTGAAAATGAATCCCACATATTAAGAAACTTTAGCAATGTCTTGAAAATTTATCCCACATTTTAAGAAACTTTAGCAATCTTTTGAAAATTTATTTCACATATTTAGAAACTTTAGCAATCTCTTGAAAATTTATCCCACATTTTAAGAAACTTTAGCAATGTCTTGAAAATTTATCCCACATTTTAAGAAACTTTAGCAATCTTTTGAAAATTTATTTCACATATTTAGAAACTTTAGCAATCTCTTGAAAATGAATCCCACATATTTAGAGACATCAGCAATCTCTTGAAAATGAATCCCACATATTTAGAGACTTTAGCAATCTCTTGAAAATTTATCCCACATTTTAAGAGACTTTAGCAATCTCTTGGAAATTTATCCCACATATTCAGAAACTTTAGCAATCTCTTGGAAATTTATCCCACATCTTCAGAAACTTTAGCAATCTCTTGAAAATGAATCCCACATATTTAGAGACTTTAGCAATCTCTTGGAAATTTATCCCACATATTCAGAAACTTTAGCAATCTCTTGGAAATTTATCCCACATATTTAGAGACTTTAGCAATCTCTTGAAAATGAATCCCACATATTTAGAGACTTTAGCAATCTCTTGGAAATTTATCCCACATATTCAGAAACTTTAGCAATCTCTTGGAAATTTATCCCACATTTTAAGAAACTTTAGCAATGTCTTGAAAATTTATCCCACATTTTAAGAAACTTTAGCAATCTTTTGAAAATTTATTTCACATATTTAGAGACTTTAGCAATCTCTTGAAAATGAATCCTACATATTTAGAGACTTTAGCAATCTCTTGAAAATTTATCCCACATTTTAAGAAACTTTAGCAATGTCTTGAAAATTTATCCCACATTTTAAGAAACTTTAGCAATCTTTTGAAAATTTATTTCACATATTTAGAGACTTTAGCAATGTCTTGAAAATTTATCCCACATTTAAGAAACTTTAGCAATTTTTTGAAAATGTATCCAACATATTTAGAAACTTTCGCATCAATATAGTCCATCGATTTAGAAATTATCATTATTCAAACTGTAGCTGGTTCCCAAATTTGTAACTGACTTGAAAATTGGGTCCATAGAAATAAGTAATCTCTTGAAAACATACTTTTGTTAGTATAGATTTATTTATTGAATACGTTTGAGTGATCTTTCTATATATGACAAAATAAAAAAAAAATTTGAATCTCCAATAAAAGAAATGTATTGGTAATCTGATTTAGATTGAAGCTATAATTATCTAGAATTACATTCACCTTGACTGAATCTATTGAAAATTTCAAATTCCACAATATCTTTACAATGCCCTAAGAAATCAATGCAACTACTTGGAACATTCTTCAATATTATTATGTTATCATGCTCAATA